CAGGACTCATCCCAGTGCTGGCACCATAACCACTAATTACCAACATGAAATACAATGAAGTCATTTCACATTTGCCAACATTTTCCAGCCTTCACCTGTATAGTTAACCATCCAGCACCCCGGAGGAGACTCTCACTCTGCACCTCCTAGTAGGAGTAGATCCTCGGAGACGCCGGGCCCTTTATTAGGCCGGAAGGTTGGGTCAGCTTGACTTTTACATTTTGCTTGAATAACAGAATATTGAGTTGAAATGACTCCCCACCCATCCTCATTGGTCCAACCACCAGACACAAACTGGGCAAGCAGGTACTTAGGAAAGCAGGAGGGGGTTCTGAGCAACCAAGGTCCGGAACATCAGCACCCAACTCCGCGAGGATTCAGAGGATTCAGAGTGAGTGTTTTCTGTCATTGCCGGAGATTCTTCTTATACTTTGGGGGGGAAATGGTGGACAGAATATTCAATGCAGAGGAGACCCCAATGTTTCTTCTGCAGTAAAGCTTCTATCCCGCCCCCCAGCACAGAACACGCGACATGCACTCCCCACGCCACAGTTCTGCAAATGATCTATAAATACACCAAATTGTGTTTTCTAAATGTGCAAAAAAAAAAAACCTGACGGTTGGACTATTATCACCGAGCTTCACTGAGAAGTAATAGTTCCTTCTACCTGTTACATTGTATACATTCCAAACATTGTTCATGTTCTAAATCTGTATATCAATTTCTATATATTGTATTGTCCCTGCCCCCCCCGTATATACACTATATTGCCCCCAAGTATTGGGCCGCCGGCCGGCCTTCCCACACACATGACCTTTAATGCCCCCCAGTCTTAGTCCATAGGGTTCAATATTGAGTTGCCCCACCCTTTCCACACACATGACCTTTAATGGCCCCCCAGTTTTAGTCCATAGGGTTCAATATTGAGTTGGCCCCGCCCTTTCCACGCACATGACCTTTAATGACCCCCCCAGTCTTAGTCCGTAGGGTTCAATATTGAGTTGGCCCCGCCCTTTCCACACACATGACCTTTAATGACCCCCCAGTCTTAGTCCGTAGGGTTCAATATTGAGTTAGCCCCGCCCTTTCCACGCACATGACCTTTAATGACCCCCCAGTCTTAGTCCGTAGGGTTCAGTATTGAGTTGGCCCCGCCCTTTGCAGCTATAACAGCTTCAACTCTTCTGGGAAGGCCGTCCACAAGGTTTAGGAGGGTGTCTATGGCAAGGTTGGACCATTCTTCCAGAAGCACATTTGTCAGGTCAGGCACTGATGTCGGGGGAGGGGGCCTGGCTCGCAGTCTCCGCTCTAATTCATCCCAAAGGTGTTCTATGGGGTTGAGGTCAGGACTCTGTGCAGGACAGTCAAGTTCCTCCACCCCAAACTGGCTCCTCCATGTCTTTATGGACCTTGCTTTGTGCACTGGTGCGCAGTCATGTTGGAACAGGAAGGGGCCCATCCCCAAACTCCTCCCACAAAGTTGGGAGCATGAAATTGTCCAAAATGTCGCCTTAAGAGTTCCCTTCACTGGAACTAGTGGGCCAAGCCCACCCCCTGAGACAACAACCCCACCACCATAATCCCCCCTCACCAAACTTTACACTTGGCACAATGCAGTCAGGCAAGTACCGTTCTCCTGGCAACCGCCAAACCCAGACATGTCCATCGGATATTGCCAGACAGAGAAGCGTGATTGGTCACTCCAGAGAACACGTCTCTTCTGCTCTAGAGTCCAGTGGCAGCGTGCTTTTACACCACGGCATCCGACGCTTTGCATTGCACTTGGTGATGGAAGGCTTGGATGCAGCTGCTCGGTCATGGAAACCATTCCATGATAGTTCTCTACGCACTGTTGTTGGGCTCATTGAAGGCCACACACAAGTTTGGAGGTCTTTCCCAGCTATTGACTCTGCAGGACAGTTGGCGACTTCTGCACACATGTGCGCTTCAGGATGCGCTGACCCCGCCCTGTCATGTTGACGTGGCATACACTTGGTGGCTGTTGTTCCAGTTGCTTCCATTTTTGTTATAATCCCACTACAGTTGAGCGTGGAATATTTAGTAGCCAGGAAATGTCACGGATGGACTTATTGCCCAGGTGGCCACCTATCAGGGACCTCGCTTGGAGTCACTGAGCTCCTTAGAGAGCGACCCCATTCTTTCACCAATGTTTTGTAGAGCAGTCTGCATGCCTAGGGGATGATTGTATACACCTGTGTCCATGGAGGGGATTGGAACACCTGAATCACATGATATGGAGGGGATTGGAACACCCGATAATCACATGATTGGGAGGGGATTGGAACACACTAAAGCACATGATATGGAGGGGATTGGAACACCTGAATCACATGATATGGAGGGATTGGAAAACCTGATCACATGATTGGGAGGGGATTGGAACACCTGAATCACATGATTGGGAGGGGATTGGAACACACTGAATCACAGTGATTGGTGACGGGGTTTGGGACAAGCCTGAATTGGAACACTCACATGATTGGGAGCTGGGATTGGAAACACTGAATCACATGATATGGAGGGGATTGGAACACCTGCATCATATGATTGGGAGGGGATTGGAACACCTGAAATCACATGATATGGAGGGTAGATTGGAACACCTGAATCACATGATATGGAGGGGATTGGAACACCTGAATCACATGATATGGAGGGGATTGGAACACCTGCATCATATGATTTTGGAGGGGATTGGAACACCTGAATCACATGATATGGAGGGGATTGGAACACCTGAATTTACATGATATGGAGGGGGTATTGGAACACCTGAATTACATGATATGGAGGGGATTGGAACACCTGAATCTCATGATATGGAGGGGATTGGAACACCTGCATCATGGATGATTTGGGAGGGGATTGGAACACCTGAAATTACATGATATGGACGGGGATTGGAACACCTGAATCACATGATTTGGAGGGTGGGGCCATACTTTTTGCAATATAGTGTGTATACAAACTACAATACACTCTTGCTTCCAGTTTTATTTGTACCCATCATTGTAATTCACCTTCTAGGTCTCCCTGTACATTCTGATCATTGTTCAGCAAAGGTCCAAAAGTATTTCATGTTTTGTGATATGACACATAGAGCCTTATCTGTGCATGTTTCCTATGAGAGACTGTGTAGAAGTCCATCCATTCAGGTCTCAGATTACACTCAGCTCCCTGCTCTATCCTGTGCAATGTGTGACATCAGATTCTTCTAGCAATGCTCAGAGAAGCTGTGGGTAAAATGCGTGTTTTGGAGGATGTGGAGGAGAAATATGGTAATAGATAAACAGGTACAACATATGGAGAAGGATTTGTTTCATTCTCTGTGTGTGATGGGGAGGTGCAGCTGTGGTGCAGCAAGAAATACATAGAGTCCGGTTGCAGGAAAAAGGATAACTAGTGAACTTGTAATAAAAGTCAAAGGTCAACTTTGAAAACAGCCCAGCAGGATGACACCCACCCCAGGGAACATTCACAGGTTGTGACCTCAGAATGGAGTGCAGCAAGTCTCGGATATGCTGGCAGAGTCTGTCCGTCGATGGTGGAATGCGGCCTGACCGGTCTGCACCCAAATGGGAGGATTGCAAAATGATGGTGTGTCCCTTCCTCAGCTAACCTGTCTCTGTTTTGTCTGGAACCTCTATGCCCACCGCTGTTCACTTTCCCTGATTGACAGGTGAGCTGCAAATACACCAACCCACTCGTTAAAATGCACGCCAAGCCCAGGATCAGGGTCCCTAAATATGACCTTGCCTGACCCAAGATGGCCACCAGGGCCACATGGGGCGGCAGCATCTAACTGGATTGCTTCCCCGGAGAGACCCAGGAAACCATAGAGGAGCTGTTCCCTTTGACTTCCTGTCCCTCTGCAATGCTGTTGTGTTGAGCGCCACCTGCAGTGGAGAAAGTAGACTGCATCTGCCTACTACATGTGTATCACTGCACTGGTATATGGAAGGTTTTACAAGCACTTGGCTGGTCCTGAAGGGTTCTCTTCTTTTTTTTTCCCCTCTAATCCTGGCAGTTGGTGGTATTAGCACAGAGTGGTGCTAACATGATGTGTCCTATGCAAGATGGAGAACATAGCGTGTCCTGTCTTCCAGGTTGCATGACATTGAGCATCATTCAATGTGGAGGAAAACTGAGGATATCTTGTAGCGAAAAGGACTACCTGGGAGGACAGTTCTGGAGAAGAGGTGAGTATTGCAACCCAACTGGGGACCATCTAAAGAAAAAATTCCAGAGTTGGGTGGAGTAACACTTTAGGTAAGGCTAATTTTTGGACATGCAGTAGAAACTTGCATGGAAGAGCCTAGTTGGGTCATCCCGTTCTTCTCACCATGAAGCTCTCTGTATCAGTGATAAGATACAAACACTTCCTCTATCACCACAACCTTTGTACTTTGTTTTAATTGCCTCTATAATCAGGATATGGCCGTATTGTATACTGATAGGACTGATCTTCACCGATGGTCTCCTTGGGGTTCTGTAAGAGAACCAGAAAACGTTTCCTTCAACCATTCAGACGCCATGTGACCTCCACGTGCTTCATTATTACGACTTGAATAGAACCTCGATTTATGACGGCATTTGTGTTCTCCCAAACGAAGATTTCATGGATGAGCTTTTATTACAGCTAATCAGTAGATAAGTCGTCAAATGGCGTCCATAAACGGCGTTCTTCACTCACAATATATGGACCCTTCATTTCTACATGAATGGCGCCTAAACTTTGCTCTAATCTTCATCCAAGTCATAATTATAACTAACGATGGCAACTAATGACGGTCTTATGTGACGGGAGCAAAACATCGTTTTATCTGCCTTATCGTTGCTGAACATCAAAGTCGCTGAGGAGGAAAAAGTATGGAGGACAACCCGATATCTCGAAGAGTGGATGAACTGTGTTGGGTGTTATAATCAATCAGCATTTAGCCATTCAGGGCAAAAGTGACAGAATCTCTACAAATCTCCCCCCCCAATCCGACTTGTACTTACCCTGCCAGCACTCCCCTCCACTCCTTCCAATTGGCTGATGCCATATGAATCTGACAGTACTCGGGCTCTCCCCAGACCCCGCATTCACTGTATCCGCTCTCCCCGGACCCCGCATTCACTATATCCGCTCTCCCCGGACCCCGCATTCACTGTATACCCCTCTCCCCGGACCCCGCATTCACTACATATCCGCTCTCCCCGGACCCCGCATTCACTATCCGCTCTCCCCGGACCCCGCCACTCCGCTCTCCCCGGACCCCGCATTCACTACACTACACCCCGCATTCACTACATCCGCTCTCCCCGGACCCCGCATTTACTACATCCGCTCTCCCCGGACCCCGCATTCACTATATCCGCTCTCCCCGGACCCCGCATTCACTATATCCGCTCTCCCCGGACCCCACATTCACTATATCCCCTCTCCCCGGACCCCGCATTCACTACATCCGCTCTCCCCGGATATACATCCCTCTCCCCCGGACCCCGCATTTACTACATCCGCTCTCCCCGGACCCCGCATTCACTATATCCGCTCTCCCCGGACCCCGCATTCACTATATCCGCTCTCCCCGGACCCCGCATTCACTATATCCCGCTCTCCCCGGACCCCGCATCCCGCTCTCCCCGGACCCCGCATTCACTATATCCGCTCTCCCCGGACCCCACTAACTATATCCAACTAATGACTGTTACATTCTATCCACCAATGGCCAGCTGAGGATCCAGCTCTGAGCACACTTGGGAAAAGGACTTTCAAGCAATTTTAAAGTGTGTCAGCCCATAATCGTTGTATTGGACGGTTCGGATCTCTCGTCTGATGATTGGGTTTGGCCTCCTGTAACGGACATGTAAAATTTATTGTAACAGACATGTAAGATTTGAATGGAAATATGGAATCATAGCCATGACAGGTTGAGTAGATGAGGCCACGCCCTCTCATTACAAAGGTGTGTTCAGGAACAGTCTGGTCATTAAGGATGTATATTGAGCCCCTGGGCAGTAGGGAAATGAATAGATGGTACAAACAAGGGGTCATCAATTGATCTGGGATACAGATGTGTATGTATACACAATGACTCAATAGGCCTTACAGACCCAATCATCAATTAGCATTAATTAGTCTAAAGCCCCGCCTCCTGGAGGTGACACCTTTTGTGTGTCAATCAGGTTATCACTTTCTGGGAAAGCCAGTTTGGAGCCAAGTGACAGCGACAGACTGCCTGATGTGGAAAGCTCTACAGGTAATATTCACAAAAAAGAAGTATGTTTCATCTCTTATAAAAGCCAAAATATTAGTTGCAGAGAGATGAACAAACTTCCTTCTTGTAGGCCATTCTGTGCGCTGCATTTGCATATAAGAATCATATTTGTGGCTTGGAGAGGAAGCCAGGAAAATGCATGCAATGATTAGATGACGTGGGGGTGCGACAGTCGGATGGTGTTTGGGACTGTTGCGATCGGGCTGACGTGCTGGTGCCAGAAATCCAATCCCCGACTTGGTGTTTAGGCCAGTCTTGGCCCAGTTGAACTTGGGCAGGTCCATACACAGTACCTCTTGTGGGCAGGTCAGGACCACCTCCTCCCCCATGGTCGGTTGGCCAAGGACTAATGTCCCGCCCATCTCCTAATCCCAATAAATTGGGTACATGGACATTTGGACATTTGTGATCCGTACGGAGTTGGTCGATCGACTAGCGGATTGCTGATTTTCTGGCTTGCTCCAGCCGCAGGGTAAAGTTTTATTCCCTTTTTATTTTATAGTAATTAGTCATTTGTGTGTCTTCTTATATCTTTTGTATTTCTGTAACTTTTTATATTTGTACATATTTTATGCTCCGCCCACTTTGGGAAATTAAATCTTAAAATTAATTAGTGAACTTCTGTGTATTTTAAGCTCGGGCTCATATCTTCGGAGAGAGAGACTAGATCAGAGAGATTAGATCGGGGAGATTAGATTGTATTGTATTTTAGTGCCTTTAAAACACTCGGTTAAGGTCATTGCCAATCTGTATGCAATTGCTCTGTGTGTGGGCAGATTGCGTGCGGATTGTACAAGGTAACAGATCGGCCAGACGGAGATCTGTGTGTGTGGGCTGTCTCAACAGACCATTCTGCGGATAAACTGTTGGGTGGTGGCAGGCTACCTTTGTGGTGCGTCTGGTGTGGGGGGGTGTGGACAGTGGAAGGGTTATCAACATCGGGGTTCAAGCTAGGATAGCTGAAGGGACCTTTAGAAGGGTGTGATTACTAAGCTGGTCCTCAACTCTAATCAGGGCACCAGGTTGTATGTAAGATCGTATCTGCCAGTGTGTGTGGTCGACCAGCTGGATTGGAGTCTCCATCTGGTGGTGGCCAGAGGTAGTGCGGGCTGTGAAAAGGTATCACGGCTGATCTTATATACGGTTTGAGATATTCAAGTGTAAGTCCCCTTTATTCCCCCTCTTTACCACCCTGTCGCGGCCGCACGTGCGCGTCTCGGTTAGCTAGTCGCTGTGGGCGTGGCGTGTGGTGGACATGTGACAGGGTGATCTTTGACAGATCCTTGACACCTCCTTTGTTTTATCAGCGTTGTTGTCTACCTCGGGATACATGATGGAGTACAAACACTTCTACTGGCCCCATGTATTCTGGAGGTGAGGCGGGGAAGTTCACCTTTTGGACAAAAATAATAAATGTGGGTAAAAAAATGTGTCCAAAGGAGCCTGGAAAGCATTGCACCAGCGATCAGTAGGTCTCTGATGCCATGCAGGTCTCCTGCAGATCTGTCCCAATGTCTGTATGAAATGTATGGGGTGTACGGGATGTACGAGGTGCATGGGTTGTACGGGGTGTATGGGATGTATGGGGTGTATAGGATGTATGGGGATGTACAGGGTGTATGGGGTATGGGGATGTACAGGGTGTATGGGGTGTATGGGATGTATGGGGTGTATGGGATGTATGGGGTGTATGGGATGTATGGGGTGTATGGGATGTATGGGGTGTATGGGATGTATGGGGTGTATGGGATGTATGGGATGTACGGGGTGTACGGGGTGTATGGGATGTACGGGGTGTATGGGATGTATGGGGTGTATGGGATGTATGGGGATGTACGGGGTGTATATGGATGTATGGGGTGTATAGGATGTATGGGGATGTACAGGGTGTATGGGATGTACGGGGTGTATAGGATGTATGGGGTGTATGGGGTGTACGGGATGTATGGGGTGTATATGGGGGATGTACGGGGTGTATGGGATGTATGGGGATGGATGTACGGGGTGTATGGGATGTATGGGGTGTATGGGATGTACAGGGGATGTATGGGATGTACGGGGATGTATGGGATGTACGGGGTGTATAGGATGTACGGGGTGTATAGGATGTATGGGGTGTACTGGATGTATGGGCTATACGGGATGTACGGGGTGTATGGGGTGTATGGGATGTACGGGGTGTATGGGATGTTTGGGGTGTATAGGATGTATAGGGCTATACGGGATGTACGGGGTGTATGGGATGTTTGGGGTGTATGGGATGTACGGGGTGTGTGGGATGTACGGGATGTACGGGGTGTATGGGATGTGTGGGGATGTACGGGATGTACGGGGTGTATGGGATGTGTGGGATGTACGGGGTGTGTATGGGATGTGTGGGATGTACGGGATGTACGGGGTATATGGGATGTACGGGAAGTTCTGCTTTAAGTTATCAGAATTCAATCCTCTTGTGTGATCAGTGGATCGGTGTGATCTGTGTGTGTGATCATCGGTGATATCAGTGTGATCTGTGTGATCAGTGTGTGTAATCAATGTGATTGGTGGATCGGTGAGATGTGTGATCAGTGAGATCTGTGTGATTGGTGTGATCTGTGTGATCAGTGTGTGTGATCTGTGTGATCGGTGTGATCAGTGTGTGTGATCGGTGTGATTGGTGGATCGGTGTGATCTGTGTGATCGGTGATATCAGTGTGATCGGAACAATTGGTGTGATCAGTGTGTGTGATTGGTGATATCAGTGTGATCTGTGTGATCGGAACAATTGGTGTGATCAGTGTGTGTGATCGGTGATATCAGTGTGATCTGTGTGATCGGTGATATCAGTGTGATCTGTGTGATCGGAACAATTGGTGTGATCCGTGCCGCCGTCCTCTAATGGAGTTCCAAGTTTTCTCTTCGGTGTTTCTGTAGCCGAGTACCTGAGATGAGATGATCACAAATCTCCGACAATCTTATCTTTTTTATTGGTTCGTGTTATTGATTAATTTTCCTGTCCGGGATATATAGCGTGCCGAGCTGCTCGGAGCGATCGTCTGCCTGGCGTTGGTGGACCCGGGGGCACTGGATACGGACCTGGACCTGACTCCTGGAATCTTGGAAGGAACCTCGGGAAGATTTGGACCCACAGTAGACCGGACACGCCTGGCACCACAAACACCCCCATGGCGCTCCTCAGGATTCTGGCCCTGTGTTGGTGGGTGTCGGGGGCACATTCACACCGAGCTCAGGCCTTGAACATAATGGACCAGGTTCCGGTCATAGATGGGTGAGTGCTGCCACCGGGAATACATCGGGAAAACAATAACCATAATATGATAAAACACAAAAATCTAAAGACACTTTTTGCTTTATTTATTTAGTACTTTTTTAATGTTTTCTATAATTTTTTAACATTTTTCATTTTTTTAAATGTTGAGGATTTTTTGTTTAATTATAACTTTTTTTTTTATTTATGTTTACATTTTTTTAAAATAATTTTTATAAATTTTTTAAATGTATTTATTAATTTTTGTATAATTTTTACTTTTTATTTATTTTGTACTATTAGGGGCACGCTGGTGTACAGGCAGGGGGCAAGAACCGGAGAGACAGTGAGCCGCAAGGGGCGGGGTGCACTTGTGATGTCATCGGTTGCCGGGACGACCACCCTGCTGAGCAGCGGATCTGTCATTCTAGTCTGGCGGCCTGGTGGCCGTTCTTGGACGGAGGTTCACCATTTAGTGGCTGCTGCCCTAGACCATGGGTGGCCCTCCAGCAGTTGCGGAACTACAAGTACCATGAGGCATTGCAAGGCTGACTGCCAAAGGCAGAGGCATGATGGGACTTGTAGTTCACCAACAGCTAGAGGGCCACAGGTTGAGCACCCATGCTAGCACCCTAGATATAGAATGTACCTTGAAGGAACTTACCTACGAGCTCCGTGTACACAGCTGACATACACACAGAATTATTTCTAGGATTTGCAGTTCTGCTCGGCCAGACTTGTGATCCAAGAACCCCCGACAGATAGATCAACCAGGTCCTCAGCCAGACCTCTCTGCAGGCTGCCCTGCTTCAGCCGGTGTAGAACCCATCCCCCACTGTGGTAGGATCATGCTGGTGTGACACTACAGGCAGGAACCAACCCGGCAATGTGTGCCATCGCATACGAGTGTAGAACGTGCCGGGACAAGGACCGCAGGGCCCACGGCAAAGGTGCCAAGCTGAGACCCAATCCCCCCCCAGATCATTATGTGCAGGCTTCGGGGCAATTCCTGCAACTGTCACTTTTCCTGTCTTTTGCAAAAGAAGGAAGGGACCCATCCCTACAGCAAACCACTGGGCAGCCACCCCTTAGACCTGCCTCTTGTCCTGGCCCTGGATCTAGATACGCCTGAATGTAATGGGCACAGTGGTCTGGAGGCTCTTTCAGGGACTCAGATTGAACCCCCAGGTTCATTCTGTGCAGGTTTAGGGGCAATCCACTGCAACTGTCACTTCTCCTGTCCCTTGCAATAGAAGGAATGCGGTCCCCATCCCTACAGCCGTCCCTTCCACCCACCCCTTGTCCTGGCCCTGGATCTAGATACGCCTGGATGTGATGGGAACGGTGGTCTGGAGGCTCTTTCAGGGACTCAGATTGAACCCCCAGGTTCATTCTGTGCATGTTTAGGGGCAATCCCCTGCAACTGTCACTTCTCCTGTCCCTTGCAATAGAAGGAATGCGGATCCATCCCTACAGCCGCCCCTTCCACCCACCCCTTGTCCTGGCCCTGGATCTAGATACGCCTGGATGTGATGGGCACAGTGGTCTGGAGGCTCTTTCAGGGACTCAGATTGAACCCACAGGTTCATTCTGTGCAGGTTTAGGGGCAATCCCCTGCAACTGTCACTTCTCCTGTCCCTTGCAATAGAAGGAATGTGGCCCCCCATCCCTACAGCCATCCCTTCCGCCCACCCCTTGTCCTGGCCCTGGATGTGATGGGCACAGTGGTCTGGAGGCTCTTTCAGGGACTCAGATTGAACCCCCAGGTTCATTCTGTGCAGGTTTAGGGGCAATCCCCTGCAACTGTCACTTCTCCTGTCCCTTGCAATACAAGGAATACGGATCCATCCCTACAGCCGCCCCTTAGGCCCACCCATTGTCCTGGCCCTGGATGTGATGGGCACAGTGGTCTGGAGGCTCTTTCAGGGACTGGGATTGACGTAAATGGACCCAGAAGCCCTCAGGACAGGATGGACAGGATACGGCACATAATTGGCCAACCACCTCCATAGTGAATGTATCGCTTATTAATAAATTGTGAATTAGAAAGGAAAATTAGGAAATGAGAATATTTCCCCCAGCAGACTCGGCCCACACAAGCGCAGGGAGAACATGCAAGACTTCACGTAGGTCGTGTCCTGGTTGGGATTTGAACCGTGAATCTGCGAGATGGAGCTGCTGACTCTGAGCCACGGTGCCTCCCGGTTCCCATGTGGCTTTTCATGCCCGTCTGACGTTCAGTTTAAATGAGTGATGTGCCTCAGAGATATGAACGGTCCCCATGAGGCAGCGGGGTCCGAGTCATCGCTATACACAGCGGAGGGTGGAGGACCAGTCCAGCCACAATCCTATGGTGTCACATCTGTCTGCACTCATTCTTAGTGGTCATGTGTGGGACGACGTGGCGGGTGGCCAGCAGGACTACGTGTGCTCAGCCGATCGCCAGCACATTTCTCTGGTCTAAACCTCAACGGGAATGTCACTGAGTCATTTTCCACAATTTCCAGCGTATTGAACCTCCTTCCCCCGTCCTCTGCTGCACGAGGCGCACAGCTATGTCCTCCGGGGGGGGGGGGGCTGTTTTCAGCGATATGTGGCTCAGGAATTCATTCTTACATCGCTAATTCCAATTTTATTTTCCTGAAGTTCAACTTAAAAAAAGAAGAAAAAAAAAGATACCTTTAATTTAGTCACCCCGGGTTAGAAATGTTCACATTTGTAGCGCTACCCCTGTAGGAGCCGCTGGATAGGAGGGGTCCTCTGTTCTTTGCCTCGACTTTCTTCAGAACTTCAGCCTCCCCCGACAAAAACATACAATATCACAGGAAATGAATGAAAGGAATACTTCGTGCCGAGCGGCAGTGCGATATCACAGAAAGCGGGCACTGAGCCGGGAAAACGTCATATATTGGCCCCCAATGGGGCTGGTGACTAGGTGAGCAGAAAATGGACTAACAATGGAGATAAAACAATCCAGTATACAAAGTGAGGATTGGGCAGAAGATGACATTTGGCATCCAGATCAGCATAGACAGCAGCGAGGCCACCGCAATCGCAGCAGTAGTAAAGTAGTGAGTGCTGGAACTATACTGCCAGAGCGCATTTATGGCGGCGATCCGAGTCCTACAACAACGGGGTATGCACTCTGCAAAAGAAAAGGAGGATGAGAGAGGAGGGGGCAGGGAACAAAGCGGGCTTGCAGAATAATTATTAGTTCTTCTGCCGGCTAATGTTGGGGCCCTTTAAGAGAGATGGTGAACTTAAAGGGGAAGTTCCACTTTAAGTCTTTGTCCCCCGCTCCCCATTAAGGATTGGCACCTTTTGAGAGTGGGGGGGGGGGGATTCAAATTCGGGTACCCGTTCCCACTTCGGCTGCGATTGCCTAAGGAGATCAGAAGTGGAAGTTGTCCTTCCCCCTGCCCCCCCGTAGCCTTCTGAGACACGTGACAGATCCCAGAAGAAGACGGGGCCATTCACAAAGCACAGCGCTTCTCGCACATGCGCAGTAGGCACCTGGCTGGGAAGCCACAAGCTGTCACAGCCGGGTTCCCACACTGAAGATGCCGGCACCGGGGAGAGAAGTCGGCCGGTGACACCAGCGGTGGTGAGGACATCGCTGGACCGAGGGACAGGTAAGGGATCGGTGGTGAGGACATCGCTGGACCGAGGGACAGGTAAGTGACTGTGTTGTAAAAGTCAGCAGATACAGTTTTTGTAGCTGCTGACTTTTTTTTTTTTTTCTTTCAGCTGGAACTCTGCTTTAATGACAGTCGACAGTCCTAGTTAACATACATGAAGTATAGGTACATTATGGGCACGGTATAGTCCCAGCACAGTATAGTCCCAGCACGGTATAGTCCCGTCGCGGTATAGTCCCAGCACGGTATAGTCCCGTCGCGGTATACAGTCCCGGCACGGTATACAGTAGTCCTGTCGCGGTATAGTCCGTCGCGGTATAGTCCCGGCACGGTATACAGTAGTCCTGTTGCGGTATAGTCCGTCGCGGTATAGTCCCGGCACGGTATACAGTAGGCACGGTATACAGTAGTCCTGGCACGGTATAGTCCCGGCACGGTATACAGTAGTCGTTATTTTCAATGGATTTTCATTCGCAAACTGAAAATTCCGTTAACTGCGGCGTTCGTACATCGAGGTGCGCCTGTAAATGTATATTGATTGGTTTGTGTGAAAGTTATAGCGCCTACAAACTACGGGATACATACTGGAATTTTTATTTCAATTTATACTGGGAATGGCGGTGATCAGAGACTTGTAGCGGGACTGTGATAGTGCGGTGGGCAATTTGACATTAACTGACAATGGGGGTGGGAACTGACTAACTGCCACTGACATCACCAGTGACACCAATACAGTGATTATACTGAACTGTCACTATCATATTTTCTTTTCTTTTTTGTTATTTTATATATTTGTTTATATTGTTTTATATTATTTTTGTATGTGGGGGGGACGTTTTGCCCCCATATAGATCTGGCTCCGCCTCCTGAGTCTCACAGCCGTATGTCTTCCTTTCCCTCCACAGACACAACGACCTCCCCTGGCAGCTCCTGGAGAAATTCAACAACCAGCTGAGTAAAGTCAACCTGAACACCCTGAACAGCACCCACACCAACATCCCCAAACTGCGAGAGGGGCGGGTGGGCGGACAGGTGAGGGCGTGCCGGGGGTGATGGTGGAAGGGGCCGGGAGGGGGGATTTTTTCAGGCTATGACACGGGTTCAATGTGTTCATAAGGAAAGGAATGTTTGGGGTTATAAAACAAAATCTATACAAATGTTTGGGGGGTTCTAAGACTTTTTCTAAGATTCGGCGGGGGCTGAACTTTTCCGAAGTCTCCGGTTCTGCATTGATGTTCCGCGGTTTCTTTTTGTTTTGCAGTTTTGGGCGGCGTTTGTCCCCTGTGACACGCAGGGCAAGGACGCCGTGAGAAGGACGTTGGAGCAGATTGACGTCATCCATGGCATGTGTCTGAAATATCCGGAGGATTTCATGTGTGTCGGCAGCGCGGCAGGTGAGGGCGCCCAGGAAAGGAGTGACAGCGGCTCCTAACGGGTCATTGATAATAAAGTGAACCTGTTATAAGATTTCTGGTAGGACTGACAGGTATTTGTTGCACTTTTCAAACAGATATAAAAATTATCCCCCCCCCCCCAGGGGATGTTAAAAACTGGCAGTTTCGCCGTGGTTTTATCACCCTCCAGTCACCCACCCAAGGCTGTACACATGCTGCAGCAGGAATACAGCGTTTTTTATAAGTGGGGCTGCAGCTTATGCCAGGCAGCAACGCATGTCAAACTGCTACAACGATTTGCATCTTCCGCGGAATGCCCGCAGACATACATACTGTAACATGGAGAACCCGGGATCACCGGCCACACCCATTACTGCTCTTTCAATAACTCCTCCACTCCCCCTCACCGACAGGTGCCGACTCCCTCCTGCTCCTTTTCAGGCCTCCCTTGCAGGCGGGGTTAACCCTTTTGGCACCAAAGTCCCTGTAATCCAGGTTTGGAGGCTCTTTCCCACCAAAAGTCTCTCTGAGCCTCTGTATTCCGGGTCCCAAATGAGAACTTGCCAAACTCTCCTCTCCAACCGAACTACTCATGAACCCTTTGCCTTGCATGGGTGAGAACCCCTAAATATACAAAATGTTTATCACCCCCCCCCCCCCCCACATAATGGGGAAATCTACCTGCCCCCCTGGACCCAACCCTGATGTCCTGTACAAGACCTACATTGGTCCAAGCTGGAATTATGTAAAAATTCCCAGACCTGGAAATCCGCTTTGAAGCTGAAGTTTAGGAAATATTTGATGAAGCTGTACTATACCTTCCATGAATGAAAAGCACCCTATGAATGGAGGACGGGTGGATGAATGAAAGGTCCACCATAGATCCAGAGCTCGCTTGTCACTCGTGGAAGCTACAGTAAAGCTTCTATGAATGGAGGAGTTGGGCGAAAAGGGCGGGCATAATCGGCACCCTTGAAGAGTGCCTGTCACAGGTCCAGTGCCAGTATTAACCCCTGCAGGACCAGGAGAGGTATGGGAGGGGGACTACGAATCTCCACTATTACAGCACAATGGAGACTTTGGATATATGAAGTCCCTTGTGCTGATTCTTTCAAAACATTTTTTTCCTAAACTGGCTTTAAATCCATTTCAATCGTTTGCCGGTCAATCGATTTTATTAATGGAAGGTTGCCTTCATTCTGCAATAACTTAGAATTGTATTAGTGGACAAAAGTTTTGTTGAAAGTGGATGAAATTGCTTGACAATTGCTGGATCATGGCCACTGATATGGGGAATTAATTGCAGGGCTGTGCTGCATTGGGTGTAATGGGTAGTTTGTTGTCTGGGCCACAAAAGGTTTTACTTCCTGATATAAAGGGTATTGCCTTATAGCAGGGGCCCCCAAACTTCCTAAGCAAAGGGCCAGTTTATGGATCTTCAGGCTTTAAGGGGACCGGACTGTGGCCAGTGAGAGGAAACCATGCCCCATCATTGGTTTTAATGGGAGGAATTGTACCCTAATCTTGGTGTCAGTCGGAGGAATAGTGTCCCATCAATGGTGTTAGTGGGAGGAACGGTGGTGCATTATTGGTCCATCAGTGGTGTTAGTGGGAGGAACGGTGGTCCATCAATGTCCATCAGTGGTGTTGGTCCAGTGGGGGAGGAACGGTGGTCCATCAGTGGTGTTAGTGGGAGGAACGGTGGTCCATCAGTGGTTCCATAGTGGGAGGAACGGTGGTCCATCAGTGGTGTTAGTGGGAGGAACGGTGGTCCATCAATGGTGTTAGTGGGAGGGGAACGGTGGTCCATCAATGGTGTTAGTGGGAGGAACGGTGGTCCATCAATGGTGTTAGTGGGAGGAACGGTGGTCCATCAATGGTGTTAGTGGGAGGAACGGTGGTCCATTATTGGTGTTAGTGGGTGTTAGTGGGAGGAACGGTGGTCCATTATTGGTGTTAGTGGGAGGAACGGTGGTCCATTATTGGTGTTAGTGGGAGGAACGGTGGTCCATTATTGGTGTTAGTGGGAGGAACGGTGGTCCATTATTGGTGTTAGTGGGAGGAACGGTGGTCCATTATTGGTGTTAGTGGGAGGAACGGTGGTCCATCATTGGTGTCATTTGAAAAAACAGTGCCCCGAGGGCCAGATACAGGCATGCAAAGGGCCCCTGAGCTGCAGTTTGGAGACCACTGTTGTATGAGAGTCATCTGTTCATGCTCACGACCACAGCTCTCCTTTGTCATCAGTGCTGTCCAGTGGATGATTCAGTTGTCTAGCTTCAGATCTACATTGTGTCCATCTGAGGAGCAATCTAATGATACCCCATAATGATGGTGGAGGGTTGTCCATAGAACAGAAGGTTCGTTGTCTCAGAGTCAAACGATCTGCGATGGAAATACAAATCACTTTTTCTGCTGTTATTATGCAACTGCCTATTTATCTAAAAGTCTTCGGACTTCAATAGAACACTCACTGATGTTTCTTTTGTAGGGATCCTTGAGGCCTTCCAAGCTAAGAAGGTGGCCAGTCTGATTGGTGTGGAAGGAGGACATTCAATTGACAGCAGCTTGGGGGTTCTACGGACCTTTTACAACCTGGGGGTGCGTTATATGACCCTAACACACAGCTGTAACGCACCGTGGTAAGATCCCTGATGAAATATGGGGGTGATGGTCCCACCCAGGGGGGGACACCTCTTGGCTTTTGGTCTTGATAAAATGTTTGTTGCACATTTTTCCATCCATGCGTGGGTAACCTGTGCCGTATCACATCTTTCTGCCGCAACTATAACAACTATTCAACCAGCAATATGGGGGTAATGAAAGGATAAGCAGTGTTGTGTGACTGGCAGAGCCAGTGGTGTATTTAGGGATTGTGCTGCCCTAGGAAACACAAACATGGGACGCTTCCCCCCCCCCCCCCCCATGGAGAGAGCCTGACACCAACCAACCCCCCCCCCCCCAAACCGAAGAGAGCCTTTCACTACCACCACCCTCCATACACCATACCCCCCCCCAGCTCCAGACATCCCCTGGAATGAGAGTCAGGTTCTTCATACACCATCAAGGAGCCCGCAGCCTCTCTTGGATCCCACCCGGTCCCCATGCCACGTGTGTCCTTTCTTCTGTCTCTTCTTCCAGGGGACAGTGCTGCCCCCTGAAAAATGCCACCCTAGGTAAATGCCTTGTTTGCCTTGTGGTAAATACACCCGTGGGCAGAGCAAGTTGGGAGCTCCCAGCTTCTCTATACTTGAAGGACAGCAGATCCTCCAAAAGTGATGGAGATAATGAAATGTTGGTCCAACAATTACAGATAATCTTACGAATAATCTTTGAACGATTTTGAAGTGCTAAGGGTGTGCCAATATGGGAAGGGCGCCCAATGACCAGCCCATTTTTTTTATTGCGTCTTGGTGTGTTGGCAGCCCATTGAAAATGAATGGCATGCTAGTGCATGATGCACATGAAACAACGCACAGGAACATGCTGCACTAACACAAAGCTAAGGTGAGATGAAGCCAGGGCTGCTTTTAGAAACCACGGGGCCCCATACAGCCAACCTGAGAAGGCCCCCAAAGAAAAAAAAGTTTACTATACTTCAGTTATGAATGAACACAGTGATCAGTACCTATAACTAACTGTGTTGATTCATATGATACACGGGGGGGTGATGGGTGCGACGCGGGGGGGGGGGGGGGGCAATCACTCGAAACAATCCCCTGTGTGGCTCTGTCTGCAGCAGCTGAAAGCCAGCAGGAGGGAGAGGAGAAGTCAGCTTTCAGCTGCTGCAGAGAGAGCCATACAGGGGACCGGTTCCAGTAATTGCCCCCCCACCACCACCATGCCGATAACCCTCCTTACCCACATCCGATTCACCCAGCTGCCTGGGCCCCCCTGCTGGCCTGGGACCCATACAGGAGGACTGGTGGTACCCCCTTATCCACGGCCCTGGATGGAGCCCTAGCAGTTTTTGAATGAACACAAGACTGGCCTAAGGGGGAGTTTATGTCTGAATTGTTGATTATTATTAACGAACCCGTCTTCACTCTACTGTCTTCTCAGGGTGGATAACTGGCTTGTGGATGATGACAAAGATCCAGCAAAAAGTAACGGACTCTCTGACTTTGGAAAGGTGAGAATGAAGACATTACAAAATATATCAAAGGGTTCTCCTAGCAGATATGGGAATGTCCTTTGTCTTCCCTGTAGTAAGATATAAAGATGTCCCCATGCTTGAGATCCAGGAGCATTCAGCGCCAAGGATTTTTTCCATGCCCTGGTTATCACTTGTTTTGTCACCATGAATAGATATGTTACTGGTTTCTGCTGGTAAGAGAAAAGTGGGATCGGTCGATGGAGAAGGACCGTCTGTGCTGCCTTGGGAACAATGAAATGGGTTTTAGAGTAGGCCAAAAATTCTGAACCAGAAGGTGGTGATTTTAGGAGAGAACCACCATGGGTTGTGTCTCCACATAAACTGAAACCTCCAAAATATCTATCAGGGTAATTAGGGTTGGCTTGAGCGATCCAGAAGAGACCCAATACCACCAGTAGAGGACTTAATAAGCCGTTTCTAAGATGGAGGTGTTGAAAGAACATTTAGCTATGCCTGGCCAAAAAAATTTGTTCTTTCATTAAAATTAATTGTTTTTTTTTCTTTATCAGAGGTTTAGTAAGAATCTGGCAGTCCTGGTGTTTATGTTGGAACCCAAATGATCTTGTGGAATAATGCGTCCTAATCTGTAATTCTGGCTCCTCCAGGGATCACGTCTGTAGAGATATGAAATGTTTGCTGACCTTCTGGACAATTCCAACTGTGTCATGATGTCATAGATGAAACATCTGGCCCACCAACCTTCATACATAGCAATTTCCCATCTTTCACTGAAAAGGAAGATGCTATGCTTTGGTTTATCCCAGTCCTCCTCTCAACGCATTTTTATATTTTAATGCCCAATTGAACTTTCAGTTTTACGGTTCTTGCACAAAGGTCTCCTGAACCCATTCAGCGTAATGCCTGGTGTATTTCCTCCACCCGGTCAGCCCAGGCACAGCGTATAGCCCGTCATTAAAGGAGACCTACACTGTATCTGAGCAGCACAAACTAAAGACACTATTTCATTCATTTTTAAAATTCCAAGCAAACTCCCTCATCCATTCATGTCTCCATGCTTTATTTGCTGAGAAGTCAGCCCCCCCCTAGCATTTCTGGCCATGGCCATCTTAAGTAAGGGCAGATGAATTTACTTCCTGGAATCTGGAAGCCATCTACCCTTATCTCAGGCAGGAGGGTGTGCTTAGCTGAGAAAGCACCTCCTCCCCTCCTAAAGACTCCTGGGATGTATGACCTCATTTGCCTGGGCACAGAAACCATGGTTTGGTATCCATTTTATGCTCTTCATAGATTTCTTTCCTCCCTGCAGAGTGTAGTACTGGAGATGAACCGCCTGGGAATGATCATAGACTTGGCCCACGTCTCGGTGAAGACTATGAAAGATGCTCTGGAGGTCTCAAAGGCTCCTTTGATATTCAGCCACTCGTCCGCCTATGAGGTGTGCAAACACAGAAGGAACGTGCCGGACGATGTGCTCAGGATTGTGGTAAGTAGGAGCAGAGATGCTGATTGATCCAATATCTCATGAGAACTTCCTTGAGTGGTCCATATGTAACATCAAGTAAAAAGAACCCTTTTCTGTTCCACATGGTTGTGTACAAAGCCAGCTTCATAAAGACATGGTTTGATGAGTTTGGTGCAGAGGAACTTGAGTGGACTGCATAGGACCCTGACCTCAACCCTAGTGAACATCTGTGGGATGAATTGGGATGGCGATTGTGAGCCGGGTCTTCTTGTCCAACATTGGTACAGTGAAAGGTCTGCTTCCCATAGGGCTGGTTGTTGCATTTCCAAAGACTTCAGGGCTTGTCTCAGTTTCAGAACAGGCACAGTCACTGGAGGGGAGCTCATTCCACTAGGAGAAGCCCAACGGTCCTTAGGCTGGCTTCTTCTGGTTCCCTCAAAAGGGAAAACTCCAAGGGAACCTAGATCCCAGGTCAGAGCTCATGGGTGTGAGCCAACACCCACATACCTTTTCCTGAAATAAAAGGCAGATTCCTAGCAAAAGAAGGACTCTCTGCTTAGACAGAGTTCACTTCATCCTCTGTAACCCCATGTTGGTCCCATATTTCCCATCTTAATCTGCCAGTCCATAAACAGAAGAATGTCCAATTGGGTTTGGTTAAAAAAATTAAAACTTATCTTCAAAAGAAAAGTCTTTCCAGAGTCAAACAGAAACATTTCTAGCTCTGTGGTGCAAGGTCCATCCAATATGGTGAGTGTTGTCTTCTTTAATGGGTAACTCTGGTGCTCAGCTGCTTCCAAGAGAGTACAAACCTTTAGCCCGAACCTGCTTTCTCGTAACGGGTCTGCTGCTCCTAGTAGTCTCTTTATCACAGAGAACATCCACTTCCATTGGGTGGACCCCAGTTAGGTTAGTTTTCCATACTTCTGCCCATTATTGGGGATCCCACCTCCCACTCGCTTTGCAGTTCTCACTTCTCCTTTTCTTAGCTCCACCCACCCGTCTATTGGCATCCTATCCTCAGGGGCCTAGAATGACAAGCCAAAAGGACGGGACCTCCCCTCAAAGGATCCTATGCCCGAACCTCACAATGGATACACATTCCCACAGACACACTCCTAAACCTTACAGAAAGCTTTCCCAGAAAACTGGAGGATGTTATCGCAGGGCATGATGGGGCAACTCCATTCTGATGCCCATGGTTTTTGGATGTCAGACACACTCGTAAAGGTATGATGGTCAAATTCAAGTAATTCTCTCAGCAGCTCCCCCTGCTCCTTCCTCCAAAATCCCTTATTCACTGTTTGCATTCTTGAGATTAGAAGGTTGCTAAGTCACTGCTGGGATGGGGAGCTGAGGAAGCCGAGTTGCTGAGAGAATACCTTGACCTCAGTGCTCCTGCTGTGAAATTTGAGCATGAATTTCTCCACAGTGCCTGCAGCTGCAGAGGTCACTGACGGCTTGTTGTTGTTTTTTGTTTTTGTTTGTTTAAAATATATAAATACTTGAATGTTCAATGCCAGGCCTTACTTTAAGGATGCACCCTCCTACTTGTAACAAGGTAGGGAAGCATTTCTAAAGCCTGAACAAGTCATCAAACATCCCCATAATGTCCACTAAATGTGCCTTTAAAGGTTTTTGGGTTCTAAAAGCAGCCTTTGTGTGCTCATAAGTATGGTGTAAATAAATGATGAGCCTGTACACATTGTAAAAGTGGAGCTATCCTTTAAGATCACTTTGCATTTTTGAAATTAGTAATTTAATTCCCAAATCCGACTAAATGGCAAAAAGTTTCAATGATTTAATTTTTGTTTTTTTTGTTTTTTTAAATCAGAAACAGAAAAGGGGTTTGGTGATGGTGAATTTCTACAATAACTACGTCACATGTAGCCAGAAGGCCAATATATCAAATGTTGCTGGTAAGTAAGAGGTGTATTTGGGGCAAAAGAAAATCCCCCATGCAGAGCTCAGCTCCCCGACTTTGGATGTGTTTTGTGCCTCCTTGGCAGTGTCATCCCACATGGAAGAAAAATATATTTTTTTTAATATATTTTTTAAAATACTCTTCTCAAATATATTGACATATGTTTGAAATGCTACAATTTTTTGGCCATATGCAATATATTTAAAAAAGTGTGTGTGTGTGTGTGTGTGTGTGTGTGTGTGTGTGTGTATATATATATATATATATACTGTATGTAGAAATGCATTTTTTATATATTACAAAATATATGATAAATATCTTTTTTTAAATATATTCAGATTTTTTTTTTAACATATAAAAAAGTAATTTTAACATATATTTTTACATACATTTGTACATGCATTCTAAAAATGTAGATTAAATGTATTTTTAAAGACATACAGTATATTTGAAAATGTATTTGTGAAAATATTTTTCATGTATTTTGTAATATATAAAAAAAATGCATTTCAACATACAGTATATCGCCTACTCTGCCCACTTTTAAGTGATCTCTGAAAACTGATCTCTTCAGGGAAGCCTGTCCCACCTTCAGCTAATAATGGAATCTTCTATTCCTCCTACCAGTCCATCCTCCACAATTATTACCTTTTTGTACCACCAGCCCCTCCCTCTTAGATTGTAAGCTCCCAGGATCAGGGCCCTCCTATCCCTCTTGTATTGAACTGTATTGTTGTTGTATTGTCTCCCTTTATATTGTAAAGTGCTGAGCAAACTGTTGGCACCATAAATCCTGTATAATAATAATAATAATAATGTAACGTGTTACAACATTGGAATATTGCATTTTCTGAAATGTCGTCGATATAACGTGGAGCGGTGATTTGTCTTTTCTGATGTTTGCAGATCATTTTGATCACATTAAGAACATTGCTGGTTACGAGTCGGTTGGATTTGGAGGAGATTACGACGGTGTGCCCAGGTAAGTGTTGACTTCAAACATCGGGGCTGGGACCTCAAACATCGAGGCTGGGACCTCAAACATCGAGGCTGGGACCTCAAACATCGGGGCTGGGACCTCAAACATCGGGGCTGGGACCTCAAACATCGGGGCTGGGACCTCAAACATCGGGGCTGGGACCTCAAACATCGGGGCTGGGACCTCAAACATCAGGGCTCAGACAGGAACGTTATGCTGTTTAATTGCCAAGAGAGATTCAGAGGGATGATATCAGAGTTCCCCAGATCACTCAGAAAGATGATTGCACTGTACACAGTGTGCTGGAACATTGCAGTCCTTGGAGGAAGCTTTTGGACAGCAATATCTAAAAAAAATTAGATACTTAACCATGACGGTGACAACCCGACCTGAAAATGTATATTTTGATTGCAGATTCTGTCTCCGAACGATGATAATTGTGTGAAATTGAACCTGTATGTTGATAGCAACTCTAAAAGCATACCTGCAGGCTGGCCCAAAAACCAAAACATTTTCTCCCCCAGCATGGGGTCTTGGGGTGGGGGGGGGATGATCTCTAATCCTCTACACAACGGTAGGCAACCTTGGCACACCAGCTGTGCTGAAACTACAAATCCCATCATGCCTCTTGCAATGGCTCTTGGTATTGGTAGTTCCATGACAACTGAAGTGTTAAGGTTGCCTACCCTGTTCTGCATCATAAAAGGGGGGCCCTCTACATGCTGGCGTACAATTCAAGACAAGCGGTGGCTTGTAGGTGTTGACATTGGTTGGAGGCCAGCAGTACCAGGACAGGGTCATCCAACACCCAGGGCAAGGATCCTGACCAGCACCCCCCCCCCCCCCCCATTGTTAATACATGCAGTAGAATGAGTGTACCACTCTGCATCTATTCTTCGCCCCCTTGCTTCTCTTCATCCAGGGCAGCTGCTCCTCCTGTCCACCCCTTGTCCTGGCTCTGGAGACCAGTAAGGAGGGTGACTGTGGGGTTCCACAACTGGAACCAGTGGTGAGAAAAAAAACACGGGAACGCTTATTAGGGTAAGTAAGGCTCTGTGTTGATTCCCCTGTGCCTGGATGCAGCCACTATTCAATGACAATTTTCCTCTAACCTTCACTGATTTTCTAGTCAACATTTGCTGAGTCGAGTGGAGGTGCTGACAGGGCCACCTATGGCTCAAGTCTTAGCACATTCAGCAAGACTGGCTGAAATTCAAGCCAACTTGTCATCATCAGAAGATTTCTCCTCAGCAGCGATATAGCTGTAAAAATCTGAATGGGTTCCAACCCCTCACCAGTCTGCAGTCAGTGGTCCTACTTGTAAATTTCCTCCAATTGCTTTGATCCGTATGAAAAGGCAGTCTGTGGATGATCGGTGAAGGCCTCTCGGTATCCCTTTTGATTGACGTGCTTCTAACATCTTACTCACCGTTGACATGTGTGTCATCATTTCATGGCTCCCGGTAGCAAAGGTATGGAATACACCAGGGGTCTCCAAACTGTGGCCCTGGAGCCAGATGCGGCCCTTTGCTTGCCTTTATTCGGCCCTTGGGGCACTATATTGCTCTTACTGACACACTATTATGTCACCTGGCACCAACGCTAGAACACCATTTCTCCCAATGACACCAATAATGGGGCACTATTCCTCCCACTGACACCGACAATGGGGCACTATTCCTTCCACTGACACCGACGATGGGGCACTATTCCTCCCACTGACACCGACGATGGGGCACTATTCCTCCCACTGACACCGACGATGGGGCACTATTCCTCCCACTGACACCGACGATGGGGCACTATTCCTCCCACTGACACCGACGATGGGGCACTATTCCTCCCACTGACACCGACGATGGGGCACTATTCCTCCCACTGACACCGACGATGGGGCACTATTCCTCCCACTGACACCGACGATGGGGCACTATTCCTCCCACTGACACCGACGATGGGGCACTATTCCTCCCACTGACACCGACGATGGGGCACTATTCCTCCCACTGACACCGACGATGGGGCACTATTCCTCCCACTGACACCGACGGGGCACTTATGGGGCACTATTCCTCCCACTGACACCGACGATGGGGCACTATTCCTCCCACTGACACCGACGATGGGGCACTATTCCTCCCACTGACACCAACGATGGGGCACTATTCCTCCCACTGACACCAACGATGGGACACTATTCCTTCCACTGACACCAACGATGGGGCACTATTCCTCCCACTGACACCAACAATGGGGCACTATTCCTCCCCCTAATACCAAATGTGGCAATGTTTATGCCCCCTGATGCCAGGAAAATGTCCATGGCCGCAGGCCAAAGTCGGGCCCCCCTAAAGTCTGATGGACAATAAATTGGCCCTTTGTTTGAAGACCCCTGGAATACAGAGGAGCCAAATATCATTTCATCTTTATTTGTATCACAAAGGAACACTTCTTAATGCACTCGGCCTCCTGAAGAGGCGACATCCCAGTTACTTATGTGGAACACGTAGGCAGAACTCACCCAGTTCTCATACCTGTTCCAGGCCAGTGCTAAAGCTAAAAGGATTCACATGACAGCCAGGCTACTAGTATTTCCAGAATGGAGTTGAAAATAAAGTTAGTAATGCAAATTTCACGCACGTTGAGCAGATCTGCATCCTCTTTACTCAGTTTTCAGTATCATCATTGGATGGAAAGTGGAGGAAGTTCTACTTCTTCCATTCTTGCTCTGCTCTGCGACCTACAAAAAAGTTAATGGGAAACAAAACTCTGATCACTAGCAGGAGATCGATGTACTTGTATGAAATACAATGCGCCAACATGGAGCGTTCAGTCCATGGGTAACCCAAGAATGTTCTCCTCCGCAGAGTGCCTGATGGCCTGGAAGACGTATCCAAATACCCGGATCTTGTAGCTGAAAGAGGTGGAACAGGTCTGCTACATCACCACTCCAGCCACGAAACGAGGATGGACTGAGGAGGAAATGAAGGCCACTCTGGCCAACAACTTTCTAAGAGTATTCCAAGAGGTGGAACAGGTCAGTGTCTAAAATGTCACATCACCACTCCAGCCACACGAAACGGTGATTCCAGTCTGTGTGTACGGACACCGAGGAGAACATGCGTGGATTCCAGTCTGTGTGTACGGACACATAGGAGAACATGCGTTGATTCCAGTCTGTGTGTACGGACACATAGAAACATGCGTTGATTCCAGTCTGTGTGTACGGACACAGGAGAACATGCGTTGATTCCAGTCTGTGTGTACGGACACCGAGGAGAACATGCATGGATTCCAGTCTGTGTGTACGGACACATAGGAGAACATGCGTCGATTCCAGTCTGTGTGTACGGACACCGAGGAGAACATGCATGGATTCCAGTCTGTGTGTACGGACGGACACATAGGAGAAACATGCGTAGATTCCGGTCTGTGTGTACGGACACCAAGGAGAACATGCATGGATTCCAGTCTGTGTGTACGGACACATAGGAGAACACGCGTTGATTCCAGTCTGTGTGTACGGACACATAGAAACATGCGTTGATTCCAGTCTGTGTGTGTACGGACACCGAGGAGAACATGCGTGGATTCCAGTCTGTGTGTACGGACACTGTGTGTACGGACACCGAGGAGAACATGCGTGGATTCCAGTCTGTGTGTACGGACACCGAGGAGAACATGCGTGGATTCCAGTCTGTGTGTACGGACACCAAGAAGAAACATGCGTGGATTCCAGTCTGTGTGTACGGACACCAAGGAGAACATGCGTGGATTCCAGTCTGTGTGTACGGACACCAAGGAGAACATGCGTTGATTCCAGATTCACATAGGAGAACAGTCCGGTGTGTGTACGGACGGACACATAGGAGAACACGCGTTGATTCCAGTCTGTGTGTACGGACACATAGGAGAACATGCGTGGATTCCAGTCTGTGTGTACGGACACATAGGAGAACATGCGTGGATTCCAGTCTGTGTGTACGGACACATAGGAGAACATGCGTTGATTCCAGTCTGTGTGTACGGACACATAGGAGAACATGCGTTTCCATCGATTCCAGTCTGTGTGTACGGACACATAGGAGAACATGCGTTGATTCCAGTCTGTGTGTACGGACACATAGGAGAACATGCGTTCGATTCCAGTCTGTGTGTACGGACACATAGGAGAACATGCGTGGATTCCAGTCTGTGTGTACGGACACATGGAGAACATGTGTTCCGGTCTGTGTGTACGGACACATAGGAGAACATGCTGGGGGGGTTTACTGGCTGTAGGAAAAAAACATCAAAAGCCAAAAACAGCCGCTGTAATAACGTCCCGTGTGGGTGAGGGCTAATGCAGGTTACCTTACGTGTGTGCAGCGCCCCCCTCCCCCATACTCACCTGAGCCCAATCTTGGTCCAGAGATGTGCACAGAAGTCCCAGGTCCCTCCCCCCCCCTTCATTGGCCCCTGCTGTTTTCAAACACAGCATGGGAGGGAGCAGGGGAGAGCCAAGTCCCACTCTGCTGTGTTTTATGGATGCAGAGAGTGGGGTTCAGGGGTGAGCACACACCAGTGCCCCCCCCATGCCAAACGGCAGCAGGGAGGGGCCAGAAGCAGCGGCAGGGGGCTGAAGAAGAGGAGGATTGGGGCTGCTCTGCGCAAAACCACTACAGAGCAGGAAAGTATAGACGTGTTTGTTGTTTTAATATAACGAAAACAGCTTTAGTATCACTAAGTAATTATTTACCCATTCATGCAGAAATGTCTGAATCCAATCACTAGGGTTTTTCTTTTTTTTTTTTTTTTAGACAAGTAATAGAATGAGTACAGACATCCCTAAAGATGAGCCCATTGCCTACGAGGAGATTAAGAGTAGCTGTCACACTGCCTGGGGCTATGATGTCCCTGACTCTGCTGACCGACAGCTCTTGGGACAAGGAATCCTTCTTCTCTGCCTGCTGTTCGCACTATTTCTGTGATGAGTGTTCTTCCCTCATCTCAGTGCGCAAAAAGAGTGACATGGCGAGGACAACCGGCTCAAAGCAATGCAAAAAAGGAACCGAATAAGGAAGCTGAGATCGTTGTACCACCATTGGACCATCGTCCCACCATTGGACCATCGTCCCACCATTGGACCATCGTCCCACCATTGGATCATCGTCCCACCATTGGATCATCGTCCCACCATTGGATCATCGTCCCACCATTGGACCATCGTCCCACCATTGGATCGTCCCACCATTGGACCATCGTACCACCATTCCAAATTTTTTTTTTTTTTCTTTTCCCCTAACTCCAGATTTTTTTGTTTTAAAGGTTGGGCTCAAATATAGTTGTTAAAGTCCTTCTGGATCAAGAAGTGGGTTAGACTGCAGGGTTGTTCTAGAAACACAAGAGGAAGCTGGAGGTGGTGTTGGGTAACCCACCAGGACTTCACTTGTCATTTTTTTCAATTTTGAACACAAACATCTGATTGGAGGAAAGGGTCTGTGCAGACCAGGGGGCAGATATTTCAGATTACACCTGCTGGAAATGTTTGGGTATTGCAGCGCATGCAAACTGGTGGACTTTGTACATTATAGGATTCCAAGCTCTCCCCAGACCCCGCCTTCGCTACATCCGCTCTCCCCGAGCCCCGCGTTCCCTACATCCGCTCTCCCCGGACCCCGCGTTCCCTACATCCGCTCTCCCCCGGACCCCGCCTTCGCTACATCCGATCTCCCCGGACCCGCCTTCGCTACATCCGTCTCCCCCCCGGACCCCGCATTCCCTATCCGCTCTCCCCCGGACCCCGCGCATTCCCTGTATCCGCTCTCCCCCGGACCCCGCATTCCCTGTATCCGCTCTCCCCCGGACCCCGCATTCACTGTACATCCGCTCTCCCCCGACCCCCCGCATTCCCTGTACATCCGCTCTCCCCCGGACCCCGCATTCACTGTACATCCGCTCTCCCCCCGGACCCCGCATTCCCTGTATCCGCTCTCCCCCGGACCCCGCATTCCCTGTATCCGCTCTCCCCCCGGACCCCGCGTTCACTACATCCGCTCTCCCCGGACCCCGCGTTCACTCTTCGCTCTCCCCTCCCCGGACCCGCGTTCACTCTATCCGCTCTCCCCGGACCCCGCGTTCACTCTATCCGCTCTCCCCCGGACCCCGCGTTCACTCTATCCGCTCTCCCCGGACCCCGCGTTCACTCTATCCGCTCTCCCCGGACCCCGCGTTCCCTCTATCCGCTCTCCCCGGACCCCGCGTTCCCTCTATCCGCTCTCCCCGGACCCCGCGTTCCCTCTATCCGCTCTCCCCGGACCCCGCGTTCCCTCTATCCGCTCTCCCCGGACCCCGCGTTCCCTCTATCCGCTCTCCCCGGACCCCGCGTTCCCTCTATCCGCTCTCCCCGGACCCCGCGTTCCCTCTATCCGCTCTCCCCGGACCCCGCGTTCCCTCTATCCGCTCTCCCCGGACCCCGCGTTCCCTCTATCCGCTCTCCCCGGACCCCGCGTTCCCTCTATCCGCTCTCCCCGGACCCCGCGTTCCCTACTATCCGCTCTCTCCCCGGACCCCGCGTTCCCTACATCCGTCTCCCCCGGACCCCGCGTTCCCTGTATCCGCTCTCCCCCGGACCCCGCGTTCCCTGTATCCGCTCTCCCCCGGACCCCGCGTTCCCTGTATCCGCTCTCCCCGGACCCCGCGTTCCCTGTATCCGCTCTCCCCGGCCCCGCGTTCCCTGTATCCGCTCTCCCCCGGCCCCGCGTTCCCTGTATCCGCTCTCCCCCGCCCCGCGTTCCCTGTATCCGCTCTCCCCGGGCCCGCGCGCGTCCCTGTATCCGCTCTCCCGGACCACCCCCCCTGTATCCGCGTTCCCTACATTCCCTGTATCCGCTCTCCCCCGGACCCCGCGTTCCCTGTATCCGCTCTCCCCGGACCCCGCGTTCCCTGTATCCGCTCTCCCCGGACCCCGCGTTCCCTGTATCCGCTCTCCCCGGACCCCGCGTTCCCTGTACCCGCTCTCCCCGGACCCCGCGTTCCCTGTATCCGCTCTCCCCGGACCCCGCGTTCCCTGTATCCGCTCTCCCCGGACCCCGCGTTCCCTGTATCCGCTCTCCCCGGACCCCGCGTTCCCTGTATCCGCTCTCCCCGGACCCCGCGTTCCCTCTATCCGCTCTCCCCGGACCCCGCGTTCCCTCTATCCGCTCTCCCCGGACCCCGCGTTCCCTCTATCCGCTCTCCCCCCGGACCCCGCGTTCACTACATCCGCTCTCCCCGGACCCCGCGTTCACTACATCCGCTCTCCCCGGACCCCGCGTTCACTACATCCGCTCTCTCCCGGACCCCGCGTTCACTACATCCGCTCTCCCCGGACCCCGCGTTCACTACATCCGCTCTCCCCGGACCCCGCGTTCACTACATCCGCTCTCCCCGGACCCCGCATTCACTATATCCGATCTCCCAGGGGCAGAATTTGCACTGAAAACACTGTGAATTCTGCCCCGCATCAGTGTGAACCAGGGCTTAATGAAACACATCAGAGGAGGAGGTCCCTGGAGGAGCTTTGTGTTACTTGTCCAGACCAATAAAGCTCACTTTGGATTTCGCTGTTTTTCACCAGCTCCTTTTCTACTGGATTTGCTGACAGTTTGAGACAAGGCCAAGCGTTGGCACCTGGTCAGCCTAGGGAGGGGGGGGGGGGCCCGGGGCCCCAATGTGAAGGACTTGGGAGCTGTGTATAGACTTTTACCTGCCTCTTCCCATGTTGTTTTGCTGAATGTAAGCTTCAACGATCTGGGCCCACCGATCCCTCCTGCGTTCAATCGTATTGTAACTGGACTGTCTGCCTTCATGTTGTACAGCGCTGCGCCATATAAATCCTGGATGTAAAATCAAACCGTTCAAATTCCCAATCAACTAAAGTCACAAAGCTGCAAGTACATAAGAGGATATCCTGTCTTAAAAGGCTAATTCAAATGGGCGTCTTTTGATGACGAAACATGTTGAGTGGAGCCTCCATCTGACGTCATCGCGCTGTCGGCCATCTTCGATACGGTTCACATGAATGCTTTT